TTAATCTTTAACAGTACTGTACTGTAGATTGCCTGTTATTTACGGGTATTAGCCCACCCGGGCACAGGTCATTTATAATGACCCACATCAAGGCCTGGGGGCAAAAATATAATAAATAATAATAACAATGATAATAATAATAATAATAATAATAATAATAATAATAATAATAATAATAATAATAATAATAATAATAACAATGGTAATAATAATAATAATAATAATAATAATAATAACAATGGTAATAATAATAATAATAATAATAATAATAATAATAATAATAATAATAATAATAATAATAATAATAAAAATAATAAAATTAATGGAAATAAAAATAAATAACAATTATAATCAAAGAAAATATTAATACGTAATACTAATAAAAATTAATAAAAATATACTAAATGTTAATTATAATAATAATAACATAATAATAATAATAATAACATATTAATAATAATAATAATAATAACAGCCATAAAAAAAATCAAGAGTGAAAAATTATATATGTATGCTGTGTTGTCAAAGTAAGAGAAACAATTGAGACGCTGCAATTGTGTGTAAATGAGGCAGACAGTCAGATCAGCAACCTGGGACTTGGTCACAATCTTTGTGATGCCATATGGCAGCAGGGTCGACCATTAGACAACACATTATGCTTCCAATATATTCCCAGGCGGTAGTACCTCCCTGTATTGTACTGTATCTGCAAATTTTTCTTTGTTTGAGGTTTGAGATCGGGGGTCATAGCAGAACCCTGTCGTTGATATTGATGAATTTTCTCTTTTTTTTTACAAGTGAATAATTTATTACTGGTTGCTTATTTTAATATGTATTAGTTATTTGTTTCTTCATCTTAAACTTGCTAAATTATTTAAGTAAAGGGCTAAATCAGTTATGAAATAGTAATTAGAAACCGCATTTTGAGTCAGAACGTTGCTCAGTTCATGATGTAGGAAATATATTTTCCTATGTTGTATAAGATTTCGTATTTCTTCCCGTATGGTTCTTAGCTGCCCTGTAGAAAGGTGGAAATATGGGAGCTTATTGATTTTAAAATCATAATTGTGTCTTTATTTTCTACAGGGATATGCCATGACCAGGAATTGAGTCACACCTCATTGCTCTACATTTAAGCCTTTTACATTCTAGGTGACTACAGGCTGATAAGTTTGAACCATAAGTGTTTATGTATAACTATGTAAGATATATTGTAGTGGATTAAAAAAGAAATATTACAAGAAGTATCACAGGTGTACAGTAACTTTGGGAAGCTGCCACTGCGAAAAAAGTACTGAACACTTTTGATTTTAATTGCAATGTACAGGATTTTGATATGTTAGCTAGAGAGAGAAGCAACATCTTTGGAAAAGTAATGTACTTATCATTTCTCTGTTCATGGATTCTTTAGCTATACAGTAATGATTTTTTCTTATGAAATGACGTACTGTAAATTACAGGCAACAAACTGTTTGCTCTCCGGCTGGAGTTCAAAATGGTTAATGAAAGAGAAGAGTGTTGGCAACCAGTAGAAAAATAGCATTACTTGGGGAAATTTGACGTTGGTTTTGGTTTTATATCATTGTTGGAAGAAAATATAGATTCAGGGCTGTACAGAGTGCAATGGTGGGCCACTTAAACTAGAGAGTCCTCCAAAGATTATTATTTCCCCATTTCTTTCTTGGTACTGTCTGCCATACTATTACTTTATTCCAGTTTCTGCCCTGCTTCAACTAGTGTGTGTATGTGGTTGTTAAAGCAAAGTCTTGCTTCATTTCTCATTAATGCCAGGAAGGGGTGATTCATTCCAACTTTCAGAATTTTTTTGCCAAGGTCTCAAGTGTAGTTGGGTCTTTTACACCTGGTGTAGAGATGTGTGTGGACTGAAGTGTGCAGAAGACTTTGAATTCTACTTAGTGTGTGGGGGAAATTGATGCAGATAAAGGCAGAAATATAATAATTAAAGTTCAGTATGGTAGCATCGACTGGGGCGAATCAAACTGGCAAACGACAAAGGTTTTAATAATTCCATTACAGGGTATTTTATATTTAGTTTTGCTGAAATTTATAAATCATACCTACGTAAAGCACATAAATAAAGAGTTTTTGTTTTAACAGCTATTGTAGCTGTTAATTGAATTATAATGGGGGTTATTTATTTTTTACGCAAATCCATACATTTTCAGGGGCATTCCCAAATTACTGTGTTTATCGCTTGTCTGTGCCCGTTTGATGGAAAAAACAAAACAATACTCTAATGTGACTTATAAATAACAAAAATATAATATAAAGCTATATACTGTAATAAGAAAAATGACTGTGTGTGTAGTGAATATACGTGTGGAGGCAGTGAGCTGTAACTGTGTACCCGACTCGCCTTCTAGTCACGCGCACACGTCTCTGAGTAAGCTGTGTGACTGCTCGGCTCTCAGCTGAATTGTGTAGTTTTGCCCAGAAGATGGTTTGAGTGTGGAAGGAGCTATTTTTTATACATAAAATCTGTGCTATTGTATTTTGTGATATGCTCTGAATCAGTTTTAATGTTTATCATAGCCTTTTTTCTTTTCATTTTGACTTATGCAATTTGAAATTTGTTCAAATTAGGCATGGTCCACATTTGCTCCAGCTACTAAAATTCACCAGCCCGAATGCGGACCGAATTATGATCCATCATATGTTAAAAAGGAAGAATAATTTTTTGCCACATTTTTTTCAATCTTAGACAAATTTTCTAAGAGTATTATATCCAAATTTCAGCTTTATAGGACAAATAATTTTATTTTGATAGAAACATATGTCACAATTGCTGTTTTCAAAAGTGAAATTTACTGGCATTTCGATTTTGGCTGTTTTCAGTGCCATTGGCAGGTTGTCTCCTCTTCATTAGATTTTCATCAAAGTTCCTTCTTAATCACTCCAGAGGTGGCAGAATAGTTCCTTTACAAACTGAAAATAGAAAAAATCTGTTCTTCCCAGTGGTCTGACTGATCCAATTTGCCCAGGTCTACTCTGTCATGAAAATTAGAATTAATATTTCATTCCTGAGTCCTCCTTTCTCCCACTTGGCAATTTTTAGCTTCATTGAACATTCTGGTATGTACAGTACTGTACTGTATTAATTCTTTGGCCAATAATATAGTGTAGTGGGTATTAGGCTTATTTTTTCTGATCCTTTTGGAACAATAATGAATAAAAAATGACTGATGAAAATTTCAGGTTTGGTGATACATATTTATTAAGAGATGATACAATATATAGTTTTCCAATATTCAAAGCAAACTGTATGATCACAGAAAAGTCTTGAAAGGTTTAAAAAAAAAAAGTTTTATTATTGTAAAAGCTTCTGGGGTTAGCTGTTGTAGTTTAAAGAAATGTGTTGTATGGAAAGTATGTACAGCAAATTTATATATTTCTTCATTTTATTAAAACCTTGGTGAAATGTATAAATTTTTTTTTAGTTGATTGTGATTGAACAAGGATAATTTTTTATATGGTGGAAATCTGTAGTATCTTGTGATTTGTAATTGACATAACCTTACATAAGCATGCATAGCATGTACTAATACAGTATATTTTAACATTTGTTGATGTAGTTTGACTACTGTATCTCAACTCAAAATGTCTCCACTGATGTAGTTTGACTACTAATACTTTTTTTTTTTACTGCATAACTTAAGGAATCTAATGTAGTAATTCCTGATTTTTCCACTTGCCAAGACAACCATTTAAGACAAGTACAGTACTGTATTCTTATATCTGATAATGTAAGTTATTGGCAAGTGTTTCATCTCTTTGAAAGCCAAATCAATATGAGTTCTTTGGCAGATTTTTTTTTAATATGACTGTGAAGTCTTAAACTGTGAAGATGTGCATTGACAATTGTTTTGAGAAAAATGCACGCGCTACCCCGCACTGAATGTGGGATTTTAACATGTGGAAAAAGATAAAGCTTTTTTCACGTTGATGGGAAGTTATTATGGAATAGCATTGTGAAAAATGAAAGTTGTAGAATTTCTTATGAACTTTAAAATATCTTGACATTTGCATTGCTTTCTGATATTTGTTAATTACTTTAATGGTGTACTTTAATGCTAATACTTTTTTATATACCCTGTACTGGTATATATTTCTTGTACAGTCAAAGCTAAAAAATCCAAACACCTTGGGGCCAAGCAGTGTGTAGATTTCTAAAAGTTATTTACTTTTGAGTGTTATGAAGCACAAATTCTGATTTTGTATAAAAATCTACTTAAATGGTGTTTGTACTGGTGTTTAACTGCATAAGATACACGTTTTATTATGAGGTTATAGGTATGTGGGTGTTTCCTCTGCATTGTCATTTTACATTTTGTGACACATTTTCAAATTCTGGGGAAACTGTTTGGCTTTTTCATATACGAGTGGGCCAGATATAGGCTAAAACCATTGTATCAAGCTCTTCTAGCCTTGTGCCATTTGTCCATGTCTTTGTTTCACTATCAACACAAATTTTCAAGATCTTGTCAAGCTGTCTCATGATATCATAAAGTAGTGCATTTCCAACATCATGCTGTTCAGCAAGTTTGTCTGTTGAAGCAGCACACTTATCTAGTTCTTGTAATATTTAAGATTTTTGCATGATATTAAGAGTAATAAGTTTATTCTTTTCACTATTGCAAACATTACTATCACTTGATCTTTTCTTAGAAGTCATTATTAGGGCAGTACAGTATTTCTTAATTAAGAATAAATTGCAATCACGGTCATGGTGAACAAAACCATGAATTAGGCCATGAGACAATGACTGTATGGATGGTGGGAGCAGAGATTAGAGCAGCTAAACTCAAATTCATGCTTGATTCCTGGTACTCACTCAAAATATGAAACTGCGAGGATTCTTGAATTTCGGATTTTTGAGCTTTGATTTTACAGGTACTGTATTATAGTTTTAATGAAGCATTGTCAGTTCTGTCAGTTATTTGATATTCTCAGACTGCTGTGCTTATAATTACTCTTATCAGTATTCAGAAATTGGCAACCCTGGTTACCATGCAGAAGCGGTCCCAATTTATGCATCGACTCTTAGCATATTGGACCTTGAAACGACAGTCTAGGAACGGGGTCCCTCTTTTGCGGCGCCTCACCACATCACACTCCCGCCGTAACAACCGGCCTATTGAAGATAAAACGTCTGGCATGAAGGACAAAGAAAGAGTTTTGACAGTAAGTTTGACTCTAGTATTTGTAGAGCAAAATATAATATCTTGTGGAGGGGGAAGAATGATTTAGCATGTAAATCAAATTATAATATATTATTTACTTGTTTATTTATTTATGTATTTATTATAGATATCAATCAATCAGAGTACCAACCTTGTATCTGAGGGTTGGCAACCACAGTCCTCCACTCTAAACATTCTCAGGCTGTTTTTACCAATCCTCTTAGGTTTCGCATCTCTCTGGGGACCCAGTTTTTAATTTCATGTATCCATCTCAGTCTCTGCCTTCCCATGGCCTTCTTACCCTTATCTTTGCCTATTAATATTTGTTATTATCCCCTCATCCCTAATTATATGACCAAAGTGTTTAATTTTTTTTTTCTGTACATTTCAAGTATTTCTCTTGAAGTTTTTACTAAGCTTAGGGAGGGTTAAATTGTTTTAAGTCTGATAGGTAAAGGGTAGTAATTTGAGCTAATACTGTAATGCCTGGCATAGTTGATGTATGCATTACCAGCCAAAATGTAAGGGTTGAAAGCCCAGGTACCTTAACCGCATTGGCTAGAACCGAGTAATTCATTCAAAACTTTCCTGTTGCAGCTATAACCCTTTAAAAAAAAAGTGTGGAAGCCTTCAGTTCTCTTAAAGGGCTGAAGGATAATAGTCTTGCTGTTATGCTAGCCTTGCACTTTGATACCCACATCTAGCTCAGTTTCAAATTGTCATTTAGTCTTGGCCACCCGTATAGAGCAAATGGTTGCCTTCACACTTTTCTCCTCCTCTTACTGAGAGCTAAATGCATTCTGTTATACGTTTAAGCTCTTTCTACAGGATTTAGGTTCAGTTAGACAGTCCTAAACATTAATATAAGTGATAGAGTTATTATTTACAATTGCCTAATAACCCATTTTGAGGGTAGCCAACACTCCTTAATGGGGGTACTTCCAATTTATAGTGTGTAGCTCAGCTTATTGTATGGCTTAACTTAGGGTCAGGAGAGAATATTCTGGTGTGGTCCAAAGTGGAATTTTGAGGAAGTTTCCATTTTGGATGAGGGGTATACTGGGAATGTCACCATTGGTCTCTTGCCTTTGGGATACAGTTGAACCTTTACATAATCTTCTTTTGAGAGATTATTGTGTGCACTTCCATGTCTATAAGGTAGGTGCTGAGGAATCTAATAGGAGGTCTGAGAGCCAGCTAATGCAGGACTATGTTGTTTAGTGAGAGCAGTAAGGCCGTTACCATATTGGGCTGAGCTACACCCACACAGTGAACCACGTGAGGGTCATGGAGTGCATGGCTAATGTGACTGCAAGATTCACACCCTTTAGCCTTTAATGGCAGTTGAAGCCACCAAGAACCTATTCTTAAGGGTTACAGTTACAATGTGGAGGTTTTGAATGAATTATTTAGTTAGCATGTATTTGTAATCAAGGCTGAGATACTGGGAAGTTGAATCTAGGTTTTAGCTAGTAATACAGGGGTTGTCCAATCTAGGATCAATCCCTCATTATCAGTTTTTAATTTATGTTAAGCCTATTACACACTTGTCAACATGTCGTCCGGCGTGACTGGCAAACAGCTATCTTCCGACACAAATCGGTGTTCATGTCTGATCAATGGTGGGTTTTCTGGTGTTCAATCACTACGCAATCAGGACACCCTACTGGACGCCACAACTGTCATGCTTCTTTCACTACAGTAGTAGCAAGTTAGGCAAGAAACGAAAAAGCGTTGATGAAACTGACAAGGTGCTCAAATTGCATTGCAAAAAATTAATGCAATTCCCAAAACAGAGAAAAGTAATGAACATACAGTAATGATTTTGCAAAATTCGTATCTAATAAATTACGAAATTTGAATGAGTTTCAAAGGAAAACTACTAAAAAATTAGTAATGAGGTTCTTTTTATGGGGTCAATGGGAATGATGACACCTGCTCAAGTTGCAAACATTAAGAATACAGTACAATTATAATTGTTCTCTGATATACTGCATAATGACATAAATTATCTAATTGTATTACAGTTACAAATAATTGTCACTCCCCAATGGTGCTTCACCTGTAACTTTTGAGACAGCACTCAACTGTCAATATGGTTGAGCCTTTGAATGCTGATTGCAGCTTTTAATGACTCATTTCAAAAGCTACAGGTTTGAGCATTGATAAGGTGTCACAACAATATCTATAACCGAGAACTAAAGCTGAGAACTAGATATATTTTCCTAGGTTGCAGATGTGCAGTTTATACATCTTAATTAGCTGCTATATAGCTATTACCAAATGACTGTTTGTTTATAGGCTATTTTGTAAATGATTACAATCTAGCCTAATCACTTTTATTTACCACTTGTTCAAATCATATATAACTATTCTTCCCTTCATGTAATTGTCTTTTGAGTATTTCATAGATAGTTTGGCATGTTTCAGGAATGATTGCACTCAGATTTTGTTTAAAAATGTGTGTGGAATATTGCAAACTTGCATAGGAGCATCATTTGCTAGATACCGAAAAGTACCGTGGAGACATGCTCCAGCCGAAGTACTCTCTGAATCTAATACAGAATCCTGTCTCTGTATTAGCGGTTTACTGTTGAGAAGAAAAAAAAGGCCGTCACTGGAATTTTTTAAATTTCCTTCACTTTCTATTGCAAATTCATTAAATATGTTTTTAAACTTCCCTTGGAGCACTTCTTCATAAACCAGTATTTGTACCATTATGTTCTTTTCTTCACTCTTTTCTTCTTTATCACACAAGCAATAACCATACTCCACAAAGCAGCTTCCATTGCATGCGAAACTGGAGCCATTGCTCGCAACATCGTTGTCAGACAATGGATGATAATTGCTGGTGTGTACAATTCATCCGGCAAGCCTATCCGACACTGTTGGATGGCATGTCAACAAGTGTGTCTTAGGCTTTATGAGTAAAATGATGAAACTAAAGAGAGTTGAAGTGCTAAAGTAATGGTTCTGTTATTACAGACATGTAAAATTTAGAATCTGTTGGTGAATAAGCAATTTTTATTTTTTTTTAAATTGTTGGTATACAGTATTATAAACTGGTTGCATATTACTAATTAATTCAAGTTAATATGTAAAGTTGTTATTAAAATCTGAACTCATGTATTTGAAATATTAATGGATATCAATAAGTCATTATAAAATTTTTAAAATAATTACAGGTACCCTACACACCTTAATTGCCATAGTTTCAGCTAACTTTGAGATAGAGAGAGACAGAGAGTGAGAGATATAGAGAAAGGGAGAGAGAGTGCAAAAGACATAGAGATAGAGCGAGGGAGGGGGAAGTTTATTCTTTTTACTGTATTTTAGTTCAAGTCCTGATTCTGTGGAACTCACGTAACTCTGGTTCAGATCCTGAAATGTGGAATTCTATTCCAAATCTGGGTTCATGGATTCTACTCCAATTTGTGAGTCCTTGAAAGCACTTTACTCCAGTGTTTTACTGTGAGAAATGAGGTTAAAAGCACAAGTGTTTGTTATTTTATATATTTTGTGTAGGGTAAGTTTTGCTCATGCTTATTCTTCACACAGGAAGCTGAAGGATTACGGGAGGAAATCAAATATTGGCAGAGGCTACGACAGGACTTGGAAAGAGCTCGCCTGCTGTGTGAGCTGATAAGGAAGAGGGAGAAGACTAAGAGAGAGTTTGTCAAAGCGTATGTATGATTAGAAAAACTTTGCCCTTTTTCAGCTTGTTTTCTTTAATTAGGGAAAGCAACTACATGTGCCTATTACTGTACAGGAATACCCCGGTTATTTGCAATGGATGCATTTCTTTAAAGTCATTGCGAATAACAAATTTGCAAATATTAGGGCAAATTTCCCCTATAAGAATTAATGTAAATAGGATGGGGGATGCATTCCCAGTCAGCAACTTTCACCACATATTTTTCAATATACAACCCTCATGTGAAGCTATTTGGGACCAGGGTTGTGTGTATACTGTAGTACAGCACCAGTAAATATGATGAATTAAAAAAAATTATAATAATAAATAAAATAAAATAAAATAAGAAATACTGCATAGCCAGTTGGCAATACAATAAGACCTCCCTAAGTCGAACTATATGGGGCTCGAGGCTGTCTGACTTATCTAGAATTCCGGCTTATGCATAACCTCTCTCTCTCTCCCCCCTCCCCACCTCCCAGGTACTTTCAACCACCGTTTTGCTGAAAAATCTCTTACAAAAACAATATTAAAGTTATCAGTGTACTTTCATCCTGTACTTACTTTTATTGTAGCAAATGAATTTTGAGATGGAGGACAATTAGGGGCTGCTTACACTTACAATACCTGTATTCACACATATTGTGTTACACTTTATATTTAGTTACAATTATATTTAGTTACACTTTACAGGTTGGACCGGTTCCGGATTAACTTTTCGCTTCATTACAACCACTTCCACTGCTTGCTGGTCTCTTAGGATGTATGTTTAGGGGTAAATTATTAGTATTTAAAGGTAAAATACCACTAGAAGTGAGCTATGAGGCTGTCCTGAACCATCGAAGCTGATGTCATAAAAAGTATTCCACTTCAGCCCAAACTCCTTACAGATAACATTCATAGAGACCTCAACATCAGTTCTGTCTCATATCTTCAGTTTCTTTTTTTTAATTGGTAGAGTTCTGAGAGAGTTGCTGATGCACCCATTACAGTGGAGCAGTGGTCACAACAACAAATGTGTGGGAGCTGACTCCTCTCTCAGCTGCCACCCCACACAACCCCCCTAAGTCAGAGCTTGTCCGACTTATAGGGTTTTCGACTTACAGAAGTCCAATTTAGAGGGTTTTGCCGGTACTTAGTTTCACTACACGCGGGATATGTTAGACCGGGACTGCTGAGATCCCCAACATTGTTTCCTCCTCTTCCCACGATACGTGCGCTAACTACCGTACACATTAGTAAGAAACGTTTACTGTATTCTCTTTATGTTTTTGACCATATGACAATCATTTCGTTTATTTATTTATTTATTTATTTTTACGAACATTCTGTTTGAACAATTGTGTAGGCATGCAACAGTTAAAAAAAAAGAAAAAAAAAGTGTATCTACCTAATAACATTAATGCAGCTCACTAGTTGTTGGAGGCTGAGATCCCTGATGTTGCACCCCTTTCTGCTCCCCTCCCATGATCCACAAACTAACCCTTGAAAAATAACAATAACACAGCTTGGCCTGGTAGGGGAGAGCTGGGGGGATGTAGTTACAGGGATAGTCTAACTTGGCGACATGCCAAGTTCACACATACATTCACTTCGCACACATACACATCCCAATGCTCTTCATATTTCTTATTTTATAACAACATATTTTTCGATATACAGGTACGCAACATGTTATGCACTAAAATAACTACAATGTCATAAAAACGATACATAAGAACTCTCTGTTTGAATGAGTATGTGCAGGAGAGAGTGTTTGTATGTGTATGAGGTTTGTAAATGAGTAAACTTTTAAAAGAGCATTTACCATTGCTTTATGAAGAATTCTAGAACACTCTGTGTTTGGAAATATGGGTACAGGCATGGGGTGAACTTCTCCCGTGTGTGAACGGTCCCATTGAACTTCATTAATTTCTAAACAACACGGGTCTTCACGCATGGATAAAACATGCATGTATGAAGTAGGCCTTACAGGGGAATATGAGAGCTGCGTGGTTTGACATAGTATTATATTACTGTAGGGTATTGTAATTTTTCTTTGTGAATAAGTGGAGTATAGTACTTTGTGAATATCGAATAGGGGTGTTAAAATATAAATTGCGGATAATCAGGGTAGTGAATAGCGAGGTATTCCTGTATAATACTTTCAAAATTATTATGAGTTAGCATCAAACTTATAGAATACTGTATAGGATAGTAAAATTTTATTTGGGGTGTCTTATATCAACTACAGTATTTATTTATTTATTTATTATGTTTTATGATAAAATATTTATTTATTTATTTTGTTTTATTTATATATTTACTGGCTACAGTCTTTATTATTTTAATTTTTTCCAGGAAAGCTGAGGAGAAAAAGGTCCAGCTGGCTCCATTTGTGCACTTGTTGTTGCAGACAATAGATCTTATTCAGGAAAAAGATCAGCAGATGATTTTTGCTGAACCTGTTGACTTAGTAGAGGTTAGTTTCATCATTATACCATTATTATGCTTTGTGTTCACCTTTCTTATGGGTAATACAATATACAGCTCCTCCCCGACTTACGACGGGGTTAGGGACCCAAATCCAGCTCGTAAGTCGAAAATGCTTAAATAATACAGAGAAACCTAAAATGGGTGTCTCTTTTTCTTCTCAGCACCACAAAACTCTCAATTTTAAGCTTGCCAGCCATTTTAAAGTGAATTACTAACGAAAATTTTGTCAGTACACAGCGCAATCACTGACGTTGGGACTCGAAAATACGTAATTTGACAAAATTTTGGTACGACTGACGCGGTCGTATGTCCGGGTGGTCTTAAGTCGAGTAGGTCGTAAGCCAGGGAGGAGCTGTACAGTCTTTATGTTAACCCTCTCATGCATCATGTCATGAAGTGCATTGAATCATTAAGGACATGTGCTGCAAAAGAGTTGCACAATAGACACAGACCTAGATTTTTTTACCATCTAATCTATTTGAAAACAATGATGGGAAAAATATATAGGTCACTGAGCTTGATTTTTGTAAACACATGTTGAAAATATAGCCTTTTTGTCCATTTGGCTCATATACTGTACAGTATATCATATGTAAACTGGGCTCAAATTATGTTATTTTTTTTATATTAGGAGTTAGTTTATATTGTAAAATTGATGCTGTATGCATACTGCAAAGAAAACTGCACTTACCTGTGCAAATTTACAAAATATAGATTTATCGGCCAAAAAGAGAAATTCTGTCGGCTTTTTACTATTTTTTTTCTTCAGAAAATAGTGAGTTCTGAGGCTGTAAAATTTATTCTACAACAGACACTGTCACACAAATCACTTTAAAGCCTTGGTCTATACACTAAGTATAAAAAGAAGAGAAAAAAAGGATGTTACAGTACCATGATTTTTATGAAAATGTGAAATTATTTCATAGGGACTTTTGTTAGTTTTGGTTTGCATTTTGTGCATATGTTGCATCTGTACTTCTTTTGGTTCTTCAAACTGGCCTTGACTAATCGACTACACCTTTGGGAAGGCATTTCGATGAATATATTAGAATATTTATGAGCAAATTTATATACATGATTGCTGTACTTTGTTGTTTTTTGCGCTTCTGGAAGAACGCAAAGGGGGGCAACTTCTGGAAAAAGAGCATCATTTGTCTCCTGGCAGTACACACAGACTTGCACAATGGCAATTACTGAGATCATCTAAACTGTGCCAAATTTTTGTGTCATAGATGAATACATGATCTTGCGAGTGAAGCTTCCAGAAAGTACCAAAGCGTGGGTGGAGTTCTGTTGTCCATCAGTTTCCTCCTGTCAGTCATGCTGGTAGTTCACATTTGTCCCTTCATTGCCTCTGTCACACTCCCCACTATTAGTTGTATCAAAATTTCAAAACTACCATTGGAAAGTTCATAAAATTCCGCTTCGATAACTATGATACACTTGGTAGGTTTGTGAGAAAATATCCAAGATATGATGTTAGGAACACAAATAATTTTTTTCTTTATTCTGAGTGAAAAAATATACAGTAGTCTTATTCTCGTCTTATTATTTTTTTGGGCTTATGTTAAAGCCAAAACAATAACAAAGCCAGTGCTGTGTAAATCATGCCAAAAAAAGTGTGGGATAAATTGGCCACGTGAGTGGTCCCATATGACTTTTGTTGTGGTCACAGAAACTTAAAATCTTATTGCATGTGTGAGAGGGTTAAATGTCACTCAGGAGTTGATCATAACCTCCTTGTACAAAAAGACCATCCCATTCTCTTTAACTTAAAAAAAAATCAGATAATAGCTGTATTTATTAGTGATATAAAGTATTTTCAGTAAGTAGTGGTTCTGATGGTATAGATACAAAACTTGTGGAATAATACCTGTAATTACTATAAAACTCTTTGAACAACTCACCTTTCTACTCCATGTACTGGCCCCACCACTTGACTTAAAATTACATTCTTGAAAAAGATTTTTAGTAACAGAATATAAGAAAGGTTCAAGGGAATGGTGTGCAATTCATCGAAATAGTTTCTCACATTAATTACTTTACTCTTACATGATCCAGGTGCACGATTACTTGGATGTGGTGAAACATCCAATGGACCTTTCTACGATGAGACAAAAGGCCCAAACTCACCAGTACAGAGACGTTGACCAGTTTGCCAATGACTTCGAACTCATGATTGACAATTGCCTTATTTACAATGCCAAGGAAACTATTTTTTACAGAACAGCCGTCAAGTTACGGGATCAAGTAAGTTATGGCTCGGTCTTGTTGTTTTTAATGTGATGGTTGTTATACTCATTGGAGAGTAAGGTCATATTAAATATGTAGGTAGCCTTTTAAGTTTGCTGTCTTTACTGAAAACAAGACACATAAGGATTAAGTAGTTAAGCTCAACACTGACAGTAATGTGAATAAAAGGTGAAAAGGGCATTTGTTGGGCTATATTGGCTAGTTCATTACTGAAGGCTTTTACTGCACCCTGTTTGATACCCTCTTTCAATGGCTCCTGTGAACAACTGTCCTGAAGTAATGCAGGAGATTAAACTATTTTTATCATGTTTCTAGAGATTATGAAGTTGCTTGTTTCTGGTGTTTTTCAGAATTTCAGATGATAGAGATGGTTGGTGAATAATGAACATCTATGAGTTATGTATTGACAGGATTCCAAAAGTTGAGAAAAGTAGTTGAGATTAGAAAGTCAGGGAAGTCATCAAGATATCTGAACTAATTCTTAGTGTTTAAGAACAGATGAACCCCTTGTATACTGTGGCCTCTCTGTACTGAATAAAATCATCTGTCATTAGCCACATAAAATAAAAGTGGCTTCCCCATAGCGAAGAGGTTAAGAATATTTTCAGGACATTCAAGGATGTGGTTAACTTTAGAGATGAGATGGGTTGAATGGATGTTGAGGAATGAATGTATGGTTAGAGAATAAATGGGAGAATTACAGTTGTGGTATAAGAAGGGAATGGATGTAAGATGGATGAATAAGTGGATGTATGTGAATCAGGAAAAGGAAAAGGACAACAACCAAATGTAAGATTAAAGGACAAAGTTAAAGAATATGAGGGCCAGGGCAGGAGATGTGCAAGGAGAAATGTCTGGAGCATAGTAAGTATATGAGGGCATGGTGGAAACTATGTGTAAGCTATTGAGTTGGTTAGAAAGTTGTAACTCAATGTATGTAAATACTGTAGTACACAAAGATAGGTTGTGTTGGTGGCTGTTGGCAAGTAGGAAGTAATATTCTGGAGACGTACAAACATAATCACATACTCTTATCACTATTGAGTTCAAAAGCATGAAGCACAACTTATCTGAAATTCTTTAGTTTCTATTTACTGGCCACTTCAACTAATGTCTCTACTTCTCCTGTGATCTAATCTCTCAGGGTGGTGCTATTATTCGTCAGCTGAGAAGAAACGTAGAGAATATTGGGTTTGACATGGAGACTGGCCTCTTTCTACCCCACCGTCCAAAACCTATGCCAGAGTTTTCAGACAACAAGATAATCAAAGAGGGTAAGATTTGATTAATTTATCACTTTTAACAGCTGTAGCCATCACTTGTGTTTCATGAGCAAAGATGACCTAGTACAAACAATAGGTTACCCATAAACCTGTGGGTCTCTGAAGTTATGGGTTGTATATGAACCAATGTTGTTAAACTGATATTAGGAAAGTTATTATGCAGGTCTCAGTTTGAAATACTTCACTATTGTGGGGGACTTATAAATGTTAAACTACAAATAACTGTACAGTATATATGATTTTTTTCTTTGAATGTAGATCCAGAGTTTTGGCACTCTCTCCACTATATTTACAATGATTAATGTGGCCCAGAACCTACAAAGGGTTGGGGACCACTGGTGTAAGGGTGGGGGGGGGTGTAGTTAGGGAATCAGCATTGCAACTGGTCTTTGTTACAGGGATTGTATGCAAATGGCGACTATGTTAAACTTTCATTTGGCTTTTATTTATTGATTTGGCAATACTGGACATTAATTTTTGTTGGTATTACTTTTATTTATTCCTCACATTTCCTGGTACTGTATATATTATTTTAAGAAAACTATGGCTACAGGAGGACAATTCAGTACAGTACAGTGGTCCCTCGGTTAACGAACACAATTCGTTCCACAGAGTCGTTCGTTAACCGAAAATTTAATTAATTGAATCCATTGTTTCAATGGGATATTGGGTAATTGGTTCCAGCTCACAGAAAAGTATATACAAAGTAAAAAAAAAATGCAGTAAAGTACACTTACTTTGAGGTGTATATGTAGAGGGTTCCTGGTTGATGATGATGATGGGAAATAGAAGTGGGGTGAAGGGAAAAGGAGAAGAGAAGTAAGTGGAGATGGAGGAGAAATCACCTTTCAGGGGACCCATGCTTGATGCAGTCATTTCACCAATAAAATTTTAAGTTCTCTAGGTATAATTCAAGATTATTTTATTTAAATCTACACTGCACTGCGCTATATATTATCAATATGTTAACTAAATTTCAGAATGGCCAATAATTTCAATGTAAAAATGCAAAAATATTCAAGTCACCAACAAAATCGGTATTCACTCCACTGTCAACAAAGCCAAACTGACGCCTGGTGGCTGAGTCAAGCGGCTGATGGGCGCACAAAAAAACTAGTTCCCTGTACTGCATATATTATCAACATGTTAACTAAATTTTAAAATGACTATTAATTTTAATATAAAAAATGCAAAAATATTAAAGAGCACAACTTTCTTGATATTTACTCCACTGGAAACGAATGTAAACATAGAACAGATTACCGAATTGGCAGACTAGCCCATCAACCGATGCTGACAACAAAACGTGTTGTTCGTAAGGATTTCGTTAATCGAAGTTTTGTTCGTTAACCGAATTGAAGATCCTTATGGGAGGTAATTCGTTGGCCAAAATTTCGTTAATTGAACTGTTTGTTAACCGAGGGACCACTGTATACACACAAAAGGTTTTCCCTAAAATACTCTCTGCTAAAGTGGGGGTGCATCATATATGTATTTTTATATAATTATTTATCGTTTTTATACATTTAGTACATTCGCATTAGGATGAAGTAGGTTTTACTGTATCATGTGTCTGAGGTGTCTCAATTTAGCAAACTAGTTTACTGAATCGAGCGAAAAATAACGGAAAAAATGTGTTGCACTAAATCAAGAGTACAGTATACTGTATATTAGTGAGAAAGTACAGTAATCCATATTAATGACATTTGCTTTTTTCACAGTTGATGAGGCCCTTTCAGGTGATGCTGATGATTCCATGAGTTTTGAAGAGAGAGAAAAGGCCCTACTGGAGCTGCTGGATAAAGCTAACATGTTGAGACACCATGTGGCTCGCATTAAACGCGTCAAGTCAATCAGGTAAACCATGTTTTAAATGTGATCTTTTATTATTCAGAAATATAGTTGGAAGCCCACTGGTGTTTGTTGTGTTTGCTAAGTAAACAATTTGCTGTGTCTGTATGTCCATTCAAATGAAATGAATGTAAAGAGGTAGGAAATTTATTTATTTTTTATTTTTTCCCAAAGATTCAAATGAAAATGAATGACAGTCTGAATTATTAATTACCAAATTTTTTCTTAGGCTTTGGTGTTCTAATTTCTCATCTTTGGTAGCACCTAGAGGCAGGTGATCATCAAGTATCCCTCGTTATCTAAATGTTTGGTATTCGAAAGTTCACTTATCCCAAAATTTTATTCTTGCTTATCTTTTAACTATCCAAAAGTGATCCTCACTTTTCCGAAGGTTAGTCAATTGATAATTGACTCTGATAGGTAATTTACTTGGTTTAGCCATTACTGTACTGTAGTTTGGTAGTAAATTACAGTAGTTAGGTAGTTTTTCTTGTTGTTCATGAACTAATTAAATTTTCATGTCTAATATTGGGGTTTTCTTGTCGTTGGAAAGTGAACCCTGTTTTTCCCATTTGTTCTCTTATTTGCTTGCCAAAAATTCAATATCCAAATGGTTGTCAAGAAACCTAAACCATTTTGATAATGGGGGATACCTGTATGTTGTTTATGAGTGAGGCAAACAGGAGAAGAGTAAAATGGAGACTCAGATTGATATATAATAATTGTAAGTTGGTAGGAGTTATGGACAAAAGGTGAGAACTTCCTTGTTGTAACCAATAGGGGTTTAAATGAGTGAGTCTATTTAGGGCTAAAACTGTCAACACTTAACTGTGAGTCAACCACTAGATCAAATAGTATCAAATCTTCTTACCTGGTCTGGGTGGGTGAGAAGGCATTGTGCAGAAAAACATTATTAGTCTAGTTTGTGTATCGTGCTGCTAAAACTGTAAAAGCTCTCTGACAAAAGCAGCCTAGCACAGGAGGGGGTGATTTTGTTTTGTGGATATCATAAGTCTCTCGCTTCATTCCTTTGGTATAAAGTGAGAATTCATACTTACATGATTTTTTTTTATTCAGGCGAGAAATTGGCATTGTGCGTAGGAAGTTGGCCCTGAACCAGTCAGGAAGTCTGAATCACAAAACTAGTGCCATGTACTATGACACTGAAGATGAGTCTGACAAAGAAGATTCTGGTAAGTTACTTTTTTTATACAGTATACATAGTCTGAAAATTAAGTTCGCAAACTCATGCTACAGGTGCAGGTATGTACCATATTGAGGATCAGCGCTGTGGTCCCCTTCAAAGTATTTCCCTTGCAATGCTATACACGAACGCCGGCATTTTTTTCACCCCTGGAAACATTTCTGGAGCTCACTTTCTGGAATAGCTTTTATAGCTGCCGTCGTATTACTCTGAATATCATCCATATCTTGAAAATGCATCCCCTTCATGTGTTTCTTCAGTGAAGGAAATAGAAAAGAGTCACACTGGGCCAGGTCAGATGAATAAGGAGGCTGTTCCAGTTAGGTAATTTGTTTCTCGGCCAAAAACTCCGACACAATCAATGCCGTGTGTGCTGGGACATTGTCATGAGGCAAGATCCACTTGTTTCCAGCAAAAAGTTCTGGTAGTTTCCATCTAACCTTTCTCCGAGTCTTTTAAGCACGTCGAGATAGTAAATCTGGTTCACACACTGCTTTGGGGGAACACCCTTACAATCGAAAAAAGTGATGAGCATTGTCTTCACTTTCAACTTTAACATGCGACACTTTTTGGGGCGCGGCAAGTTTGCAGTTTACCACTGAGCGCTCTGACGTTTTGTTTCAGGGTCGTATTGGTAGACCCATGACTCATCACCAGTAATGATTCGGTGAAGCAGGTCATCTCCAGATTCTACTCTTTCCAAAAGGTCTGAGCAAATTTCATCTGTTTTTGTTTGTCACAGAGATTTTTCGGCATCATTTTTGCACAAACTTTTCTTATCTTCGAAACCTTTGTTTCTCTGTCAATCTGCAATGCTTCTCTGAATCGCCTATTAGTTTGCACAACTTTCCAAATTTTTTTCAATGTTTTCTTCAGTCCTGTTTGTTGTTGGTCGTCCTTCTGTCATTGTCTGTCGCATCTTCTCTTCCCTCTGAAGATCTTTAGTGCATTATCCCCATAATCTTGGGTTAACATGTCACGAATTTTAGATCCAGTTTCATGAGAAATGATGTTCATTCTTTGTTCTAAATCAATATCTGTCATCGTGACAAAACCAGAAAACACTCTTAATACAATAGCTGCCACTGCACATGTCCCACTCACTTGAGATCGATGACACAACTGAGGTAGTAAGATGAGGGATCAAGGTGACACTCACGCCACTCACACTCGTTACATTGCTGCCGCCTGTTGAGTCACGCGGCGAGTTTGCGAACTTAATTGTCAGACCTCGTATACCATTTGCCTTTAGGGATATGTGTACTAAATTGCCAGTGTTTTACCACATACGCATACTGTACTTATATTTGATTTTTTCCCCACCCTCCTTCTTTTTGTTCTGAGGATGGCTAATGCACTTAAAGGATCAAAATCAGAGGAAATGTTGTCAAAGTAACAAAATTGTGTAATCCCAAGGAACCTATACACTTTTAAGTAACATTTTGCCTTGTGGAATATTGTGCCTAACTACAGTGAGTTCTGCTATAACGCGTGTTTTGATAACGCGAATTTGCTCTAACGCGATTTATGAATTCGGAACAATATTTGTATAACGCGAACGCTTGTTTGCTATAACGCGATTTTTGCTTACTATTTCTCCAATTTTGTGGTATTAACTGTGAATATGGTAAAGAAGAATATCTCCAAAAAGCTTTCTGATGATAGAATTCCCGGTGATTATCGTAAAAGAAAGGATATAACACTTGAAGAGAAGCTCGATGTTATCAACCTCAAAATCACCCTTCTCCCCCATCAAGTTACATTCATATTTTTTCAAGGTAAAGTGTTAAATTTACTGTATGATTTCATTATTAGATATGAATGTAACATTTATTTAGACTGTGTTATCCTTTGTGTTAGGCTAACTACTAAATTTTTTCGATTTCGAGTAATCTGCACCTAACCCTATTTTCTCCATAAGCCCTGTTATTTCTATTACGCGATTTTCTATAACACGATATTTTACAAGAACACAATTATCGCGTTATAGCAGAACTACCTGTACTGTATGTGTTTGTAAACGTTGATATATTTGCATAAATAAGGGAAAAAAAATCACGTTGCAGAAAAATCTATGGAAATACTTTAAGTAAAAACAAAATTATCATGGTAACGAAAATGCATTTCCCTGGCCATTGTATTGAAAAAAAAAAGATGTTTAATATGTGCTGATGTGGCATAATGGTGTATATATATCCCATGTGCCATGTCTGAAGTGTGTGCCTTTACTTCAGATATTGATGATAGTTCGGTAATTGATGATGAAGCAGAACCCGGGGAACCAAGTCGTCCAAGCACTCCACCCCATCTGCCCCCACACCTCAAGCATAATCCAAGCATGGTTTCAACCCAAGGTAGTAGTCACTCTGTGTCTTTGTCGTCGCCGCTGACTACACCTTCACAATGCCAGCAGAGGAGAAGTAGCATCAAAGTAACACCTGAGGTTGGTAACTCAGTATTTGAAATGACTAATAGCAGCCAACACTTTCTGAACATGTTACTTGACAGCTTTGTCCAAGTTTTGGGGTTGTTAATGTTAGAGTTATACAAGTTTTCTGTTCATTTTCAGTAAGTTTGTGCAAGTTTCATAGCATTTAAATTGAGATTTGTACTGTATAAGTTAAATTTTGATAACATTTGGGATGTGTAAGCATTGTGATTGTTAGCATTGAAAATATTTAACCCTAAAAGGGCGGGTATATTTAAGTGCGCTGTCTGCCCAGGGGTATACAATATTTCACTATGTAGAAAATGGAGGAAATTGTGTAAGATAATGTTGCTCAAATACATGTAGAACGTGCCCTAATTGAGATTTGGGAGGGGGTGGACCATTAGAAGGCTGAAACTTTTTTTTTCTAACTTTATATTTAGTCAATAAATAAGAGAAATAATTTCCTGGTGAAGTCATGAGTTAAACTGGGAGTACATGTTTTTCCGGCTCTGTAGCGAACTGCCAGCATAGTCATAGTAGATGCCGGATAACTTGGGTTCTACCGTACTGTATCTGATATTTTGGGTTCATGGTCCGAAGGTCCGTCATACATCCATGTTAAAAGTCACTTTTTAGTTCATATGATTGACACATTTGTCAAGTAGACAGTTCCAGAATATGGCATCTTAAAAGAGACTGTCATGTCGTATAGTATTGAAACTCAACAATGTCGTATATTTGCTGATGTGCCCGCCCTCCTGGCTTGGCCATATGGGCACGTGCATTCCATACTGTTTTTCTGCGAGGTAAGTATTCGGTTTGGTGCTTATTTAGGGTTGGAAGAGTTTCACTTTTATATTACCACCACTTATTGCAGCATTTTCATTATGTGACCATGGTGTTTTACCAAGTACATTACATTATCATTTATTTACCCCAAAGGATGACCACAAGCAGAAGCACATAGACTCCTTCTTTACTCGGGTAAGCAAGAATCAACAAAGAACGCTGACAGAACGGCAGGATCCAGCTCCTGCTATTGCTGATGAAGCCAAAGCAGCCAAGCCAGAAAAGGAAGGTAAGTTAATATATCCCCAGTCAGTATTAAGTTTATTGCTTGTGTTTACAGTATCTCAGTCAACCTTTTCTTTATTTAACATACAATTAATAAACAGTTTGAGGTCAGAATTATTCTTTTCATCCCATTTTACAAAAAAATAAAAAATAAATAAATAAAATAAACAATTAAATTAATGCATCTTAACTGTACGCATTTAGGAAATATTGACACAATTTGAAAGAACTTTACTTGGTTTAAGTTCTATATCTTGTATATTATATCTTGGGCACTATAAAGATATTTCATGAGTTATTTATGTTGAGGATCATGTGAGGTTTCTCGTGCAACAAGGGCGAAGTTGCCAAAATTAGGTTTAGAGATACACATACAAGTAATCACATTTAAAGTTTTACATTTTTCCTTTTTTTTTTTTACTAAACCTAAAACAATCCAATTTTCATTTTTACTTTTAATTTTGTTCACCTTGACAAGCCAAATAAGGAAATAAAAGTAAAAAATGGAAAAAAAATCATTAATGTGTTTACCTAATTAACCTATACTAAATACCTGTCATAAATTATTGACAGATTAAAAAAATATATGTAAATGTGGCACATGAATTTAAATAAGAAAATAGTAATCCTTTATTATTTGGATTATTATGAAACTCAGGATTTATTTTGAGGTAATTATGAGACAATAATAGTCACTACATGGGGTGAAGATGTGGGGTGTGAAGTATTGGGGGGGGTGGAAAATGCCAATGCCAGTTTGGCAACCTTGCCCTTGTTGCACGAGATGCCTCATATTAGGGATTCTTGGAATGTCTGTTAAGGATACAGAAGTTGTATTTGTATGTTCAAGTTTTCTTTGTGTTGAATCTTTATCAAGAGCCATTTGTGCAGATTTCTTGAATGATGACACAAAGTTCTTGTATTTATCTTAACAGATTCTGCTCAAGAGACACCAAAGAAGCGTGGACCAGGACGGCCTCCAAAACGTCCTCGAACGCTATCTGGACCATCAGTGAGTCCACCAGCTAAGAAATGTATGTATTTTGTCAGATTCTCCCAACTGTATGGTGTTATGTTCATATTTACTTTACCATTGATTTTTTCTACCATATTTACTGAATGATGTTCATTATTCCTCAATGTATTTAGCCTCCCTCCCCCACTTAAGTAAAAGTGACACTAAAAATAAAATTACATGATTGGTAAGTTGTACAGTACAGGTATGGGACCATTTATCAGGCATGCTTGGGGGGGGTTACCGGATAGGTTTATTTTTTTTTAATTAGGAACGTCAGGCCTGTAACTGACTGTGAAGCTTCTGTTCTGATCACTAGTCACCCCTAAAAGTAGCTTAACATATAAACAGCAAAAAAAAAAAAAAGGGGGCGTATAAAAAGAGGAAAAATCACGTCAGTACACTGCATCTTTATTTTAGGGATGATGGCTGCCTCAATGCTACCTGGCTTCCTTCCCTTGTATCAGTACTATGTATCAGTACCTCCACATGGCTGCACTGTGGAACCCCATAGATTCTTTACATTTCACTGGGGGTCTCATTTTGCGAAGGAATATCATACTGGTACATGTCCGCACATCAGAAATCCACGCAAGCGATGCCATTTAACATGTTAAAATTGCTCTATTGTACTGAACTCGCTTGGTGGTGTGGACAGCAGACAATATTTTCTCCCGGTATTTCCTGATGGCTTTTAATGGTGGATTTGTTGACTTTATAATGACGTGTTATGGTGCATATCCTTTTCCAAGCTTTGGGTTTCTTCAAAAATTTCGACCTTGGTGGTGTACGAGGGGGCCTGCTGCTTTCCACGAGTGTTTTCTTCTTCGTCAGCCATGGTAACATCCACGTAGCAAGGATGGACGGGCGAGCGGAGCTGTCCTCATAGTAAAAGTCAAGAATACAACGAGGCTTGAGGGAGAGGAATGATAGCACTTAATTTTATCATGTATCAGTGCTGTAAAGAATTAAAAAAAAAATGAACTCAGCAATGGCCAGTCCTACCTCCCACCTCCTATGCAGAGGTCAGGGAAGAAAGATTATATAATTACTAATTATACTGTATGTACTATATCGTTATTTTTCTATAGTATTCAATATTATCAAAGAAAAACATAAGAGGCTGATCATACGAGAATATAATAATGAATACTGTACTGTAAATAAAATCAAACTGATAAATACGGCACAGCCTATTTCCCCCTTTAACTTTATAAAGGGTAATGGAAAGAGGGATGACTGGTACATTCCTTGTCGTTTTATTTTGTAGTAAAATTATATATAGAGTATCGTATTTTGATCTATTATTTAATAATGCATGTTATAATATATGTGATATAAAGCATACACCAGAAGAGGCTAATTGTATGAGAATATATAATAATGAATACAGATAAATAAAAACACAGGCAAGGAAAGGCCTCGTATCTATTACCTCTCCTCATTAGACCTATATCAAATCCGATATATATATATATATATATATATATATATATATATATATATATATATATATATATATATATATATATATATATATATATATATATATATATATATATATATATATATATATATATAATCTACTTTTTGGGAAAGTGGATCATCAACTTTTGGGGAAATATTACCTAATTTTCCAAAGTAGATTGTCATAGAAAACGAGAAATTAGTATCACAGAAAATGGGAAATATCTACTTGCTGGGAAAGTTGGTTATCTACTTATCATAGAAAACGGGAAATTTTTAACATAGAAAATGGGAAATATCTACTTTCTGGGAAAGTTGGTTATCTACTTTCCCGAAAAGTATATAATCTACTTTAAGGGAAAGTAGATTTCCGACTTTTGGGGAAATATTACCTAATTTTTCGAAGTAGATTGTCATAGAAAACAGGAAATTAGTATCACAGAAAATGGGAAATATCTACTTGCTGGGAAAGTTGGTTATCTACTTATCATAGAAAACGGGAAATTTTTAACATAGAAAATGGGAAATATCTACTTTCTGGGAAGTTCGTTATCTACTTATAGAAAATGGGAAATTTGTATCATAGAAAATGGGAAATATCTACCTTCTGGGAAAGTTGGTTATCTACTTATCATAGAAAACGGGAAATTTGTATCATAGAAAATGGGAAATATCTACTTTCTGGGAAAGTTGGTTATCTACTTTCCCGAAAAGTAGATTATCTACTTTTCGGGATAGTAGATTATCGACTTTTCGGGGAAGTAGATTACCAACTTTTGGGGAAATTTCGAAGTAGATTATCATAGAAAATGGGAAATTTGTATCACAGAAAATGGGGTATCTACTTTCTGGGAAAGTTGGTTATCTACTTATCATAGAAAACGGAAATTTGTATCATAGAAAAAGGGAAATATCTACTTTTCCGAAAGTTAAGACCATTTCGAAAAGTAGATTATCTACATTTCGGGAAAGTAGATTATCGACTTTTTGGGGAAGTAGATTACCGACTTTTGGGGGAAATATTACCGAATTTTCTAAAGTAGATTATCATAGAAAACGGGAAATTTGCATCACAGAAAATGGGAAATATCTACTTTCTGGGAAAGTTGGTTATCTACTTATCATAGAAACCGGGAAATTTGTATCATAGAAAATGGGAAATATCTACTTTCTGGGAAAGTTGGTTATCTACTTTCCCGAAAAGTAGATTATCTACTTTTCGGGAAAGTAGATTATCGACTTTTCGGGGAAGTAGATTACCGACTTTTGGGGGAAATATTACCGAATTTTCCGAAGTAGATTATCATAGAAAACGGGAAATTTGCATCACAGAAAATGGGAAATATCTACTTTCTGGGAAAGTTGGTTATCTACTTTCCCGAAAAGTAGATTATCTACATTTCGGGAAAGTAGATTATCGACTTTTCGGGGAAGTAGATTACCGACTTTTGGGGGAAATATTACCGAATTTTCCGAAGTAGATTATCATAGAAAACGGGAAATTTGCATCACAGAAAATGGGAAATATCTACTTTCTGGGAAAGTTGGTTATCTACTTATCATAGAAAACGGGAAATTTGTATCATAGAAAATGGGAAATATCTACTTTCTGGGAAAGTTGGTTATCTA